TTCTTTTTTAAAAGTCAAAAAATGAAGACTATGTGTAGGCGTTGTTCGAAGTGCGCCTACTTTAAAAGTATGTTGTGAATATGCTTGGCACTCATAGGAAGTGAGAATTGACATAATACGATTAGGGATAAGGAAAGTAGGGAGCCGCCAACAAGTTTTTAAGGAACTTGTAAATCGTTCACAGATCATAAAAGGCAACCACGAATAAAGGGACAACGATAGGCAATAACGATTGACCCGTGAAGGTTACACCCCATTCATAATCCATGAGATTACTGACTCCATATGGTTCGGAACCATGAAAGGAGGATCGGGGATGATGGTACGAAGTGAGTCATGGAGTCACATTCGCCCGTATTGGCCTCTACTCGATTCTTATAGTGAAAAGTGGTTCCTGCGATCTCAAAGGCATGCAAACAAAGATTCAATTTGCTCCAAACTATTATTAGGCTAAATTGGTTGAATACTAATGCAACATATAATAATTCTAAAATATTGTGATCACTTGAATTACCAACAAGATTAAAAAGGAACCTAAACCGGTTGTCCAAATTATCTTATTAGGCATGATTTTCAATTACATATTCCCTTTAAACATGCAATATGGTGATCATAATAATAATAGAATAAACATTAATATTGGAAGCAATTTAACAATAATAGCGTTAGTCAAATCAAATAATAAATTAACCTAATCATGATACTAGCAATATAAAAATAAAATAAGTAATTAAATTAATTAATTACTCATATTCCGCGTGTTCTTTTAAATTGCTACATCATGAATAAATTGTTAGTAACTTCAATAAAAAGAAAATATAAATCAAATGAAAATTAAATTAAATAAATGTAGATTTGATTTGGTCCAAACCCTTAGTTATTTATACCTTTCACGCCTTAGTTTAAGGACGGAACCTCGGGTTTAGTATAGACTCCTTGAAGTTCTTAAGGGAAGAATGGTGTAATTAGGAATATAGGTTTAAGTCTTAGATTATGATAGAGAAGAGAATGATTTTTGGTGTAAAAGAGAGGAAGAGAGAATGATTTGATGCCACGAACTGCAGAAAGGAAGGGGGTATTTATAGGGAAAATTAGCAGAGGGAACACACGGAACCCTAAAAAGATTAAAAACCGTAAAAAATAATGCCGCGACACGACAGAAAATTGCCGCGACATGACAAAAATCCCATGACACGGGGGAATATTGTGTGACGCGGGAAATAATTAGGCTACGGGAGATAAAAAGCATGAAGGGTTTACGCTGAAAGGACACAGAGCTGCCCCGTGTCACGGTATGTGTACCGTGACGCGGCAAAGTCCACTGTGGCACGGTACAGTATACCGTGTCACAGTGAAAAAATCACATGGGGAATGACGCAGAAAAGCACCGTGCCACGGTATGTGTACCGCGACACGGTACAAACTTTCATGACACGGTACCAAACCCCGTGTCACGTCAATATCCCCCGCGACGCGGTAGTTTTGTTACTTGCACGACAATTCCAGTTTTTTACGCATTTTTAAAATTGCGATAACTTTTGATCTGTAACTTAGAATAAGGCATATAATATATCATTTGAAAGTTTATCAAGTCTAATTTCCAACCCAATTAGAATCATGTCAAAATCATTTGTATATTTTAAGATATGGCCGTTTTAGTAGAAGGGTGTCGGTTTTGGGCCGAGTTTAGTGTTTGGCTCATATATTCTTCGTTTTAAATCGGAATTGGGCTTATGATATATTGTTGGAAAGATTATTTCAAGGCCTATCCAACCAAATAATAATTAGATCAAAATTATTAATCCAAAAAATCAGTTTCTCTCGGTTTTGCGATGTGGACACGAAAAGTGGAAAACAAGTTATGGTTTAGGGAAATGAGCTAGGAAATTGATTGGTTTATGAAATGTATTGAATGGAAACAGGGATTTAAGCACTCCAATATTAAATACTGAACCCAACCAATAATGGCGGTGAAATGTTGTTCATCATCTGGTTTGGTTTTGGGGAGACATTTTTAGGTGTCTACACTATGTAAAATGCATTCTAATAAAAAACTAAAATAAAAAAACTAAATCAAATTAAAGTTGTTGCCTAGAGGGCTAGAGGTATCGAAACCCTGACCTGCCACACAACAAAAAGCTTATATCACACTTCAGCTGTTCCCCAACCACTAGAGCAACACGGAGTATATTGTAATTATATACATGATAAACATTTTATACATAAACAATGATGTATTAGGTTTTTTTTTAGGGGTAGCACGTGCTACCCCTTGCTCCAACGTAGGTCCGCCAGTGCTCGTGAGCTTATCGCAATGACGGATCCAGGGGCGGGCCTACCCAGGCCACAACCCGTCCTATGCTGGATAAATTCAGTATATATAAATATTCTTGTTTGATATTACATTGAATATACTCCCTCCGTTTTTAAATACTTGATCCATTTCTCAATGCGCGAAGTTTTAGGAGAAATTGGAGAAAGTAAAATATGGAGGTAGTAGGGTTGGTGGAAAATAAAAAGTTGTAGAAAGAAAAAGTAGTGGAGAGAATTGGAGGAGAGAATGTATGTTGGGTCCACTATTTGAGAGAAATTAATTAAATATTGTAAAATCTTTCCAAATAAGGAAATGGAGCAAGTAATTAAAAACGGCCGCAAAAGGAAAGTGGAGCAAGTATTTAAAAATGGAGGGAGTACTTGGCTTAGTTAGTTTTCTAGCCTTTTATTGTCTATATATTGTGGTATTGTAGGTTTTAATTTTTCTCTCTTTTATGCAATATATTAGTGACACATATACGTGGTGGGCCTTATAAGTAGATTTTTGGTTGGAATCCGTTAAGTGGTGGTAAAATCCAACTTTTGAAATTTTTATGGTTGTAAAATAAAACTTTTAAAAGTGAAAGTAGTAAAAATCACTTGCGAGTTGTTTTTTTTTTTTTTTTGGTAAAATCAAGATTTCCATAAATTAATGTTGTAGAAAATTACGGGTAATCTAGTTGCCATAAATTAATGTGTGGTAGGAAAATTTCTCTTGTAGTAATTGTTAATAGGACGGACAATATCATATCTTACCTTGTAGCTAGGTCTTGTTCCCCCAAGGCGATGGAGCTTGTAACCTTTGAACCATTCTCACTTGGTTTTTTAACCCTTGAAAATTTGGATGCTCATTAACAAAATAGTCCCCACTCGCTCTTTTAAAAAAAAAAGAAGAAGAAAAAGAAGAAGTACCAAATCGTGATCTGATATCGTCCAGGCCATGCGCTAGTTAGTGTATTAAAGATTGTGTGCGATTTCCTCAAGTTGAAAAGCACTTTCTAACATTTCCTCGTCTCTTTGTCTAAAAGTTCCTTTTTCTCCTTCATTTTAATTTATACTATCATTTCATTTAATATATGTTTTTTTCCTCTCTCCCTCTCTTCTATTATTGGTTTCTCTCACCTTCATTATTAATATTCATTTTTTTCTCCTTTTCAATATTGCTTTCCCACTATTTTTTTAGGCCGCCCAGGTTTCTCAAATTGATAAACAACAAACGTTTATCAAATGGCATTCTCGTAATTATTTTGCCTAGTTTTCTACGAAAGTCAATTAAATAATGTAATAGTGGTCCTAGTCCAAGCTGGCAGTGAAGCGACCTTAGTAACGGATGGTTAACGCCTTCGTTAACGGATAAACAACTTTGTCAACACATGGAAGTTACTTTTGCAGAAGGAAGAGAAAATAAGACAGACACTTGAGTTTGAGATTAAATAGTATACATAAACATCCCAAAAAAAATTAAAAATATATATAGGAGCATGCGATTTTGAACTCTTCGAAGCACACAACAGGCAATATTGGAGGTGTGGAGGATAAATTGGATTTGTTTCAGGGCTTACAAGGTACGTTTTCCATGGTTATTGATTCGTAGTAATTCTGGAGTGTGGTATGCAATTTGTTTGTAATTGGATCATTTTGAATCTATTGGTTTGTATTTTGGCTGTGTCGGATTGTAATTAGGAGCTTAAATTTGAATTGTTATTATTGGAAGCCAAATATTCAGGTGTTTAATTGTATTCAAAATTGTAGCATGAATTTGTTTACTTGAACCTGTGTTTAGGGTTAAGACGCTGTAATTTTTATTTATTTTAATTTTTAATTTAATGTGCTATGTATAGAGTCGTTTAATAGAGTGAAGATTGTTGTGTGGGTTGTAGTATGAAATTCTTAATATTATGATTTGGGGGTTTTGATTATTAATTAAATCAGGATGGTTGATTTTCATGACAATGTTTGTGGGGATGGTGTCGGAGGAGGAGAATTTGGGGATTATCTTTACGACAATGGAATTGCTGATGGAGTTGGAGAAGGTGAATTTGGGGATGATTTTTATGACATTGGTACTGGGGATGGAGTTGGGGAAGGTGAAATTGGCGATGATTTGTACTGTCCTGGCTCTGTTGATGATATGTCATTAGATATGTGCGTTCCTCCAATGTCACCAATCCGTGATGGGCAATGTAGTAATGTAATTGAATATCGTTCTCCAATTAAGACTCTAGTCTCAAATAACAGGGTATGTTCTGCTCCTTTGGTTGAATCACCGAAAGTGGGGATGGTGTTTAAGTCATGGCAGGATGTAGAGAAGTATTACAAAAAGTATGGTGAGCAGGAGGGTTTTGGTGTTTCAAGGGTGCAAGCAACCAAATCGAAAGTAACCAATGATCGTTTGACCACAACGTGGAAGTGTGAGTGTTGGGGTGCACCTAACATGAGGGCCAAGAGAGAGGCCAAAAAGTGGGCTAAATCAATGGATGTTGCTGGCTGTGGTGCTAAGGTTAATGGAGTTATTGGGGCAGATGAACTTAGTCGAGGGAAGAGAAAATCAAAGAAATGCGAATGTGGTGCTACTGTATATATATGCTGTGGTGAATGCATAAGGGGAGTGGGAGTTAATGAAGGTGATTAATGTGCACACACATGATGTTAATCCGAGCATGTCCAAGTTAGTCAAAGAGTATAGGATGAAGAATTACACTGCTAATGTGAAGAAGGTGTTGCTGAATTTTTATGAAGAGGGGGTGTCGGTGTCCAAAATTCGCAAAGGCCTGTCGCATGAGAAAGAGGAGGAGGAGTTGCCCAGCCTTAAGGACATGCAACATGAGGTGTATAAAGCAAGGAGGCTGAAGTTTGAGGGAGGAGATGCTAATGCCATGATGGCGTATTTTGAGCGGATGTAAGAGGATAATCAAAACTTTTATCACACTCATCAGTTAGATGAATTTGGTCGCGTGAAGGACGTTTTATGGGTAGATGCAAGAAGTCGGGCAGCATATGAGTATTTCGGGGATGTAGTTTGTTTTGATGCTACATACCTTACTAACCAATATGAACTCCCGTTTGCAAACTTTGTGGGCGTCAACCATCACGGGCAGTCCATCCTTTTGGGGTATGCCTTAGTGTCTCGAGAAACCACTAAGACATACAAATGGGTTTTCAAGCAGTGGTTAGCTTGCATGGGAAATAGAGCCCCCATAGCTATTTTGACAGATCAAGCTGCATCAATGCGCAATGCACTGGCTCAAACAATGCCAACTGCCAGGCACAGGTGGTGCATATGGCACATTGTTAAGAAATTTTCTGAAAAGCTTGGCAAATGCAAGGGGTAAGTTCTGTTATATGATGTCATATTGGTTCATGATGAATAGTGTTCTATTTTATTTGTTGAATTTAACAGTGGGTATGGACATAGGTGTCTATGTTTAGGTACAAAGATTTCAAGAGTCCCTTGAAGGCAATAATATATAAGAGCTTCACTGTAGAAGAATTTGAAAGAAGGTGGTGTGAATGCATGAAAAAATTCAGTCTTGAGGATAATGAATGGTTGGTTGGCCTATATGAAGAGAGACACATGTGGATCCCGGCCTTCATGCGCGAATACTTTTGGGCCGGGATGAAGACAACACAACTGTGGAGAGCATTAACAGTTTCTTTGATGGGTTTGTTAATCGGAAGACAAAACTTTGCGAATTTCAGGGCAATGACAAAGAGGGTCCAGGATGAGAATGAAGCAGATGCAAAGGCAACAAAGTACATGCGGCGACTTGTTAGTGGTTTCCAACATGAAGCATTTTTCCAAAAGATTTACACTGATGCTAAGTTCCAGGAGATTCAAAGAGAACTATCCCGATTGATGTACTGCTATGACAGGGGAGAACATGTTATTGATGACACAACGGTTCGATATGTGATCAAAGATAGGGTATGGATAGTATCGGAAGGGGAAAGTGAATAAGTCATTACGGACCGTAGGCGCAATTATGCGATTACGTATAACCATGTTCTGAAAGAGGTCACTTGTGAATGCAGAAAATTTGAAACACATGGTATTCTTTGCAAGCATTGTATTCGTGTGTTGGATCAGAACATGGTCTTCGAAATACCTATAAAGTATGTGTTAGACAGGTGGTGCAAAGATATTGTGAGGAAGCACACAAGGGTCAAGGTTGCGTACCATGACCCCACGCAGACACCCGAGGTTAAAAAATTCAACTTGATGATGAATGCATTTGAGGGGGTGTAGGAGGATGCTTCAGCTGCAGATGAAGAAACCGTACAGCTAGTGATAGACTCCCTGTCTACTCTCCACATTGAAGTGAAGGATCGGAGGCTTTAATATATGGAATTGATTGCTTCGAGTGATTACCCCGTGGTTGAGGATCCACAGTCAGAGATTGGTTCTAACAGCCATACTGTTAATGGACAGTCCCTTCCTTCGCCGTCCATCGTTCCCAATGTTCTTTGTGTGTAAAAAACGCCGTCGTGGTAGACCAAAGGGTTCTTGCAACAAAGCCTATTCAGAAACTGCATACAAGAAATTTAAGCCACGAAAATCAAAGGTATGCCTTACATGATCACCCAACTGTCTTAATATTTGATGATAAGCCACAAGGTCCTTATGGTTTTATGCATTTTTTCAGGAAAAACAAGCTTTGGAGTACGGACAGTTGCAGGTATATATCTGATGGTATATTTGTTATGACCATATTGTTTGACACCTACAGTATGTGTTCTAACATTCTGGCATTTTGCATTACATTACATTTACAGGATGATGATAACATCCACCTTCCACAACCTGATGTAGGTGGAGACAGTGTATGCCTATCAGATTATGAAGACGTGGTGTTTGACACTAACAGTATTGATTGCACTGGTGGTTTGTCCGATGCGTTTTGAGGGGTGCCTATACATGCGGCCTGCCATGTATTGGACTAGAACTAATGTAATAATAATTGGGCACTGTGTGTAATGGCCCAAATGTTAGGATTCAATCTTGAATGGATGACACATTTCTGTTTGACATAAATGGGCCATCAATATTCTGAAATTGGGCCATTTATAACTAAGCTGTTATAGGCCAATATTTTATTGCATTGTGTAACTCATGGGCTGTATTTAAACCAAACCTTTTGAATGAAGATATTTTTAGCCAATTCTTATGTTATGATTGTCCCAAGATTCTAATTTGGTTTATTAATAATCTTATTGGACTGATCTTATGGGCTTAATATAACTCAACTGTTCATTGGCCCAAAACTTAAGGGTTGTTTTAAAGTTGTTGAAGGATTATGACTTCATGGTCTAAATATAACTCAACTGATTTACTGGGCTACATATAACTCACTGATTATTTGGGCTAAATATAACTGAAATCTGTAATAATACTGTTAAAATTTTGAGAGAACTCACACTAGGATTCAGTGACAAATAATCACACAACTAATAACCATCTTCATAGACTCATCAACAGCATACACTCCAATTGTTGAAATACAGATAAACAAAATGAGCCCAACCAAAATTAACAAAATGAGCCCAATCAAACATCACATAATGAGCCCAAACTACATTAGTATCCTAATCATATACTTAAGTTAAACAACCACTAATAACCATTAAAACTAATAGGTCAGGGCAACATAACCCCGTAATCGTGATTGAAATTTACTTAAACCTAGCTTAGCCAAATTTGTAATTTGGCCAGGACACACATATCACTTCTTCAAGAAAAGGCAGTACACACGCTTCAAGCTCCTGATGCCAGCACTGCGGATTGTGTGATTTGGTACGAGGACCCTGTTCTTGTGCATCAGGACAAGTTGGCTAACATGACATCTATAGATCTCAGCGGCCATGTAATACTGCTTCAGCACCTTCATGGTCAACTCAGCCTGGACTGTCAACTTCTTAGATGATCCACTAACGTCACACAGATAAAACTTTCGCAACGCAGCATTCATATTATACTCAGGATCCTGCATTGAACATGTATTAAAATTTTGAACACATAATTTATTAAGCAAATCAGAATCACTAATTCAAAAAATGTTCATAATTTATACCTTTCCGATAGCTAGCACGATATGACCATTAGTTATACCAACCTCTCTAGCCGTATCAGTAGGTGCAATGGCCTTTCCAGTACGATTATCAGCCAAGAAAAATTTTGTCTTATAGAGGTCAAGTTTGGCAGCATAATCATCGTAGATATGCTCGAAAGTTTGGCTCCTCGTGATGGTGTACATCACACCAATGTCACCAGGGGTTTGGCTCCTTACAAGGATACCATATTCAGCTTCATCATCAGGCTCATCCTGACCATCATTCTTCTTTCCCCCACCTGATGAGCTGGATAAGTTGTCCTGAGTCAACCCCAGTCCAGCCCTCATTGTTTGAAGGAGTTTCCTCTTAACACAGGGTGCAGGCTCGTCCTTCTGGTAGTAGGGGTGCAGCTGATGAAGCATAGCAAAGGCGTTCTGGTTGAGTGTGGCAGCAAGGAGGGTGCTCTTACGCACATATTTGCTTCTTGATCTTCTTTTTTACCTTCTCTTCGCATGAGGGTCCTGTCCGGAAGAAGAAGGATGCATAATGCCTTTTCCCTTGTCTCCAGCTGGAGATAAGGGTTGACTACGATTCGTAGTTCCATCAGGTGGGGCTTGTTTCTTATCCTTCCTCTTGAACTTGGTAGGGGATGAACCATCACTCAAGTTTTCGCTCATATTTGGGTGAGAGATGATAGCTTTGGATGAAGATGACAAGTTTTGCTAGGGTTTTGGATTTGGTTTGTGGTGTGTGTATGGTATCTCAAAGCACATGTTTATATAGTGGGAGATACACAACCTTATTATTAATTAAAACTTTATAAAAAAAGATTTTGTTGCAAAGCGGCACTATGATTTTTTTTTTCAAGTTAATTAGTGGTGATAATAGTGTTCTAAAATTATGTTATGGTGATCATAGTCTTCTAAAAATAACTTTTTTAAATAAAATGATAATGGTTTGAATAACTAAGAAACACATGTTTATTAATTTAATAACTGATATAGCTTGGTTTTTTACTCGCGGCTTTTTTAGCAATCTAACTTAAATATTTAATTAATTAGTTTGTTTTAGAACTTGATAATTTTCGTATAAGATGAAATACAATTTTAATTAAAAATTAAATGTTTTTCGAGTAAACTACATAATGATGGACTACCCAATATCATTCGATTCAATGTGTTGATAAGGACCATGCTTATGTTTCGAGCCCATCGTCAGGTTCACCTTATCACACTGTTATGGTAGACCTTATAGGATGCCCTCTCTTTGTTCCTAGGTTGAACCCACTCAATCCTAATACTCGAATAGCTGTGTGGAATGTAAAGGGGATTACCCGACCTTCATTCTTGTCAAACTTTGCCCTTTTGTCTCGAATTCATAATCCCTCGATCATATTGCTCCTCGAGATCAGCACTCGGGCGAGAATGTTGCTACCATGATTAACCATCTCCAGGGGAGATACCGTCACTATGCCACCTCAGTATCCTCTTTCGACGGGGGATGTGCTCTGCTCTGGAACCCAGATGTAGTTGAAATTCAACAAAGGCCAACATTTGTTCGAACTGCAATGGTTAATGTTTTCATTCAGGTTGTGTTAATAATTCTTTTTTACACATTAATAGTTTTAAAGTTATTCATATATACGATATATTCGTTTATAATCTAATCCAGTTTTCGTGCTTTAAATGTGCAGGGAGTACCATCATTTCTGTCACAAGTACCGTGAAGGAGATGCAGTAGCTAGTATCATCTAAATGTAATAAGTCGTCTTTCTCGAGCTACACATGTTCTGGGCGACTCCAGATTTATGTTTTATTAGAAGTGCCTATTAAATATTTATTTTTAGTTTTTATTTTCCTTTATTTTTGTTGGAAATTTACAACTACAATTTAAGGCTATCGTAATTTTCGAGTACTAACCATAAATTATTGCTAATCTGATAATTTATTACTAATCTAACAAAGGAGAAAATCGAATAGTCAAGCCTTATAACCATCTGATAATTTATTACTAATCTAACGACTAAATTTATAAATTATTGCTTAAATTTAAGAGTTAACGATTCATATAGTATGAGCACATTATGATTGATAATACCCTGTACTTGATTTAGCACTAAAATTAAATTATTTTCTTATGGTCTCAGAACATCTAATATCCGGCTATAACATCCGGTTATAAGCTTAATATATGGTTTTGAATTTACACTAACAAACCAAAGATTTACACTAACAAACCCAAGATTTAGTACACTAACAAACCCAAGATTTACACTAATATATCGTAATTTACCCTAACATACCCTATTTCACACTTATTCCCTTATATATCCATACTATTACCCTAATAATATACCCATATATAACCCTTGTGTAACCCTAATACACCCTTATATAACCCTTGTATAACCCTAATATACCCTTATATAACCCTATTATACCCTAATATACCCTTATATAACCCACTATACCCTAATATACCCATATGTAACCCTACTATACCCTACAAATACCCTTATATAACCCTACTACACCCTAATATACCCTTATATAACCCTAAAGTACTGTCGTATGCAAAGTTAATGGCAGTTTTGACTTTTTCCATGGATGGCAATCTGACGACGTTAAAACCTATTAACAAAGGAATTGACTCTCCTTACCTTTTCTATCTCCTCAACAAAGGCGAACTTTTTCACGTGTGTGCAAACCCGTTTAGTGAAGTTCTGTTCATCAGTTCAACTCAACTCAATTAAGTTCACCTCAGTTTAGTTCCGTTCAGTTCATTTCAGTTTAGATCATTTAAGCTGATTTTAGTAAATGACAACATGAGCTAATATACCCTTGTAACCCTTAAACAACCTAACATGTATTGCTGATTTCAGTTATACTAATATAATCCACTATACACCCCTTATAACCCTAATATACAATTATATATGTAGTGTTGAAAAGTCTTTTCGTATCGATTTTTAGGATTTAGTGGCGATTGTAAATGATACGATTTCTCAAAATTATATAAATGTGTCAAAATAGTGTGGATATGTATTATAATGTTTTCCGTATCGATTTTATATGGGAAAACCATGGCGATTGTAAAAATGATACAACATCCTTAGTTATTTCTTCAAAATACTTGCATAATGTAGCGAATGTACAATCGCTACGAAATAATCGCTACAAAAAGTGATTTTTCTTGTAGTGACCTTTTCCACCAACATATATATTTCAAGTGACTGCGCCGCCAAATAAACGAAAACCCTAAGAGAAAATGGTGAAATTCAGAACTTCATTCTTGGAATGAAAATTTAATACTTTATGTAAGTGAGCTTCCCATTTTTAGATTATACTTACCATTACTAATTGCCCTTCTCCAATGCTAGAGTGGTATGGTAGAACCAATTGAGCTTCTATTGCATAGGGGACAGATAAATTAGAGGAGAGAGGATAAGAGAGAAATTAAAGGAGAAGAGTGAAATTAGTAGGAAATGAGTGCTTTGAATTTAGAGGAAATGATTGCTCCGAGTAGTCAAGGAGAGTGAAAATTTTATGTTAGGAGAGAGCTTAATTACGGAGAGAGAATTTCTTTTTTAATGGCTTCTAATGTCGTTAGATTGTCATGTTGAGAAAAAGTCAGTGTTGCCCTTAACTTTTCAGATGAAAGAACAAAAAGCCTCCTAGATAAATGGGGCTTGTTTCTCAAACATGATAAACTTGAATTAGCCCTACTATACCCTACTATAACCCCTACCATACCCTACTATAACCCTACTACACCCTACTATACCCTTGGGTATTGGTCACACTCTTCAGTCAATGAGAGACTCGGACACCTCAACATGAACATACAATCTGTTAACGGAATATTCGCATCCGAAGATCATGTTAGAGGTCGGAAACGGGGAAGCTTGCCTATTCTGTTGGTTATTCTGTTTGTATACCCATATCATGTTCGTAGTCATTTAGCTCAGTCTAACGAGCCTTTTCTCATTGACTGAACTGCACTGCACTGAAGTGGAGTGATTATTATTATTGTAATTATTATTATTATTATTGTTAATATCATTATTATTATTTTTATAATTATTTTTATTATTATTTATTGATTATTATTATTTTTATTTATTGATTATTATTATTTTTTATTTTGTGATTATTAATAATTTTTTTTATTAGTATGCTTATTCTCTATTATGATTATTATTATGATTATTATTTATTTATTATTATTAATTAGATTATTATTAATTAGATTATTATTATTATTATTAATATTATGTATTTCTTATTATTGTTGTTATTATTATTTATTATTATTATAAGTATTATTATAATTACTTTTTAGTTCCTATATCATTTTAACTATCACTAACTGTAATTCTCTATAATTTAAAATTGTAAAAGTTATAGATTGGAATAATACTCAGTTACACAATTCCAAGCGGAATTCAGCGGGTTTTCATTGTCTGAGAACCGAGGCTATTTCATTTAATTTTACTAATGACCAATGTTTTCGACCGTTCATTAACACCAATTTATGAATTCCCAGTTACACGTTTCCATTCGACTCGTTTTCGACCGTTGATTAAAGAGTACAACATCAATTTTCACGGATTGCTGACGTGTTTCCTTTAAATTTGCAAAATTGAAACACATTGCCAAGTCAAACCTGTACTCGTTCATCTTACAATCACGCATTATACCTTTTCATATTCTCTTCAGTATAGCCATTGGTAAGTCATATTCTCTTCCTAATCTAATAAACATGGAAAAGAGGAGAAGCAGATCCATCGTCACTCAAATGGCGAACTCAGAGATCGGTAATCGAGGTGGAAATGGCATTATTTTCCATCCACGACAACCTGTCATGTATTTTAGCCATTTCATCCCATCATCCAAATCAGATATTGATATGAACAACACAAAATACTTCCACAACCACCTTGATTTAAGAAATTTTAATCAAATTCAAGTTAAAACACTCAAAGCAGAATTATGCGGCAATCCTCCGTACGACTCAATACATGGGAGCCCATTCAGAGTGATGAAAGAAGGAGACGAGGAATACAGACCAGCGTACATGCCCTTGTTATGAGATCTGAATGGTTACCTACACAAAGGTGCAGGTCAATTTGTTAAGTGGCTATGCCTATAGCGGAGCCCATTTGCTGAACAATTGATTCCACAAGATGTGGTCCCTATATTTTATTTGCGATTCGAGATAAACCCACATCAAATATGCAAGTACACTCTTCTAATCTCACAAAGGGAAATTTTCATGGGAGCTTATAATGCTGGTGTTCACGTCATGGTGATAAACGACTTCATTTCAAAAATATCATTCGACATATACTCTTGCACAACAAAACGGACTGGGAACAGGTACTATCGAACATCTATACAGTCGGAAAGGGCAAACAAATTTCCAGGCCAATTCAATTTTAAGAGGGGTAGCACTGTAATAATATGGAATGCGAGAGACGTGCACATGCCATCGGTTTCGGAGAATATGAAAGTAATTATGGACAACTACTCGCCACTGATGGTGACTATAACAGAGGCGAGGGTCCGCAAGCCAATGATGTAATTCGTCCGTAATGAGCTCAAAGGAAATTACAAAGCAGACGTATTCGGACCCAACTCAGGGTTGGGTGGGGTGTTCTATCTATACGCAACTGGGGCTTCTCCACACTACTCTCACTGGAAACACTCTCTGTATGGTCACGTTTTGGCCGTCGACGTCATCGTAAGTTATGTGCTTTAATTATTTGATAAATAAATTGACACTTGAACTCTACCTTATCTGAACTTTTTCCTTCTTTCTATTAGCCCAGTAAAGGTCTGATTGATATCGGACCATCAGATATGTCCGCCGAAACTCAGTGACTGTATTAAAGGTTGAAAATGGGGTCGACAAGGCAAGAAAAAAACTTGTTCATCAACAACAGAGTAACCTTTTGGTAATACTAATTAATTTAGTGTAACAGGTGCTTAATCTGTCGTAAATTTTCGTATTAGTTGTTTCTATGTGTTGTTGAGTACAACTGTCTAACAGTACTGTTCTGTTGTATGTATTGGTCAACTGATTAAACAATGTATGTTCGTACCATGAAATTAATTAAGGTGATGAATTACAGTCTTTTACATATGAAACTATTGTTATACAATTATTCCGTATATATACAATTACAGTTGGCAATATCTACGCAGCTTTGCTTGTATTCTTTTAAGAATATGAAAAAGCGCCAACAAGTAAACCGCCAAATCAAAATTTCAATTAATTTTCCACCACTTACATGAAATTACAGCCTTTTGGCGCAAAGCTTCATCCCCTTAAATCACCCCCCCACTCCTCAGACCATTTCACAACACTCCTCAGACCGTAATTCAAAATTCATTAAACCAAAATGAACTACCTAAAAATAAACGCACACACAAATCAGACAAGAAAAGCTAAAGGCTTTTGTATGAGCAATGAAGGTAGGAAAAAAATTGTGTTGTTTAGAAATAGAATGGTCCCTTTTGTCCTGCTCCATACCTCGACGCTCACTGTGAAGGTGAAGCCTACACGTCCAGTGGGAGGTTTCCCGGAACAACTTAAGGGGGTATTAGCCATTATACAACCAATCAAAAAAGGAGAAAATCACGCAGTTACTATCCAGTTGGTCACTGCATCTACTGCAGCTACTTGGATAGCCAAGGGCCAACGACCGTCTGGTGACCTGTTGCTGCTGAAAAAGAACTCCGTCACACCAGTAAACTTACCAGATCTGTCTGACTTGGCCCTGCTCCCATTAGCTTTAAAGATAGCTATACAGAAGAAACTCAAAGAAGAAGGGGGTGTCCAAGGAATCGGGTTAGAACATGTAATTCCAGAGTGCGTCGCAAATATTGTTGACTCCCCATCCATATTACCAACCGTAATGGAAACGTGTAATCTTAACGCTGGAAGGCACAAGATGGAGATCAACAGCTACTTAGATGATTTGAATATTTTCACCACTTCCAGTACGTTACGCCTGAATGAAGTGTACGCATGCTGGGAGTTGTTAAGTGGAAACCCACTAGATGGAAGAAAGGTGACACTTGACTTCAACATAGTGAAATGCCATAACAATGTTGGAGGTGCTAGGGTATTGGTTTAGAACTGCAGAGATGTATCTAGATCATCATTTCTACCTCAATTCCAGCACATGCTACACCTACACATGCCTGATCTGGTTGTGTTAACCGAGACAAGGTCATCTATTCGTATGGGCCGTTTCATTTGTAGCGAGGTGAACATATACAAATCTACCGAAAGATCGGTGTACGAAATCATTGGAGGGGTCTTGTTGGTTAACATGTCTAAGCTATTGACCATTGAGAACTATCTGGAAGACTACTCAATGAATGTTTGGAATGTCGTAATATGATAGATTAGTGCTTGTAAGTTCGCTAGTAGTTGTTTCATCCTAAAATTTGATTAGTGTCCTGAAAATTGTAATGGCCCATTCTGAATGCAATATTACAAAGTTTGTAGTCCACCATGTTGTTCTATATTAGAAATTTTACAAAACTTGAATTATGCAACAACTAGCTCAATAAAACATTGGCGCAGTCCATAATGTTATGTAATAAGTCCAGGACATAGTCTAAGCCTTGGACTGGACAAACATATCATCAAAACAATAATCTAGTCCATAAATGAGACCCAATATTTAAAAGGCCCAGTAATGGATTAGTACACACAACTGCCGTGATAATATGTTAAATGTGCCAGTCCATCAATTAACCGAACCGTAGGACAAAAAAATATAATTGTACGAATACCTGGCCGATATTTGGGCCAACCCAATTATGGAACATGGAAAATCTACGGAGTTCAGCAATTAAATGGGCCTATAATGTATGACCTAGATTTGGTAATTCTACGGAGTTTTGCAATATAATGGGCCGATATGGTCATTCACCATCTCAACAAACTTCACCACCTTTCACACTCATCAACACAGACTCTCTCTGAAAATGGTTTCAAACTATGAAACATACAACCCAGGAACCCCATCACCATCATCAACCCCAACGAGCAGCCCAAACCAGCTAGCATCACCTCCTTTTCAGTACAAGCAGCAGATACTCGAAACATGGAACACGTATGTCTTAGATCTAGCCCCCCCGCAGCTGGGATATCTGACCTGAACCCAAACATTATTATGTTCATGCTTGAGACATCTCATATAGAAGATGTGAAGGTCACCCCGGCGGAGGTCCTGAGGCAAATCATCTGCAACCCACTTGTAGTACCTGAAGAATGGAAAGAGATGAAAATGCTGAATAACAAGGGGGATCTGATCCCATCCCACCTCCCAAACATTTCTGATTTGGTATTTCTCTCGCCTCCGGTGAAGCAGCTTTTTTTTCTGGTTAATGGAGAAATTGTCACAAGAACGATCAATGGATGTCATCCCTCCAGAATTCGCCTACATACTGGATCCACCTCCACTTCTCCCCCCTGTGATCGAAATGGTTAACCTCGGCTATGGGGCACTTAATGTGCACACAGTGAGTTGGAAAAATGCTATGAAGTTACTTCGCGCGAGGCGACCAGAAAACCAGATTCAGCTAACTGTATCTTGGGAACCAAGCACCTCACCGGACAAGGAAAGGCCAATACACATATGCTGTGTCCCTGGGCACTATGTCTTAATTGATCCTTGCACTGGACTGGAGAAACAGTATGTCACGAGCTTCACAGATGAACAGGTAGAGCCTTTTCATCACCCACAAACCATCCCAAACTTACTTATACTTTACTGGAATGCAAGAGGAATGGCTCGGCGATCATTCCTCCGAAACACCAAGGACTTGATCATACAGCACCAACCTCATATGGTTGTTATTTCAGAGAACAGGTTATGAAGATCAGACACAGTTGCAGTCCTTAGTGTGATTGCTTACGATAAATGGATGATGGTTGATCCAACAGGAATTTCAGGGGGAATTGTGGTGTTCTGGCGAGAGGAGTACGCAGACTTTGTTCCTATTAATACCACTCTCAGCAGTGTCCATGGTGTCATTCAGGTTAGTCTCTAACACCACCCCATTTTCACATAATATAATGTTCCAGATAACTTCCTTGCCTGAATACAATACATGAAATGCACATAGTGCTGCAGGGACCAAATGCATGATTGGATATCCGCCTGGGAATTAGTCTTGTAGTAAAGCAATAATGGATAATAAGTAATGCAGGATTAGATGGACTGCTGCGAAGAAGGTGCAGATTCTAACAATGTTTTAACAACATCAATTGCCACTATAGGTCAATTTCTAGGGATTAGTTTCAGTTTGTACTAAATCAACAAATTTTAGTTTGTACTAAAAAAAATAGATCTGTAATGTTTATTTCAGTTTCTTCATCAAATGAATTGAAAATTATTCTCAAATTCAAACGCCTTACATAAAGTGAACATATTTGGCTATCTAATGTTCGTTCCAGAGGGGAACATTTATTACAGTTGATACACCAAGGCCTACTGATACTGTTTAAACTACATTGCTAACATAGAACCAATTTTTCTTCTCAAATTATCACAATCGTACATAACAGTTCAAGCCGCACCCACAACGTGGAAAAATACACTCACTACGCATGACAACGGGACCATAGAATCTCACAATCATGCACCAGGTTCTGAACAAGTAATAACTCACGTCAAAAGCCTTCCCCGGATGGTGAGGCATGACAATGGGTGGTAACAAAACAGGGAATCCCGGGGTATCTAATCCGACGTACCTTAGGGGCTTTATGTGTATATGGGCCTTCCTCAACCACCTAAACAGGTAATTAACCGAATTGTTAGCAAAAACCAATACAGATTCTGATATTGTCCATTAACTATGCTTTGCATACCTCATTGTGAATCACAATGGGACCATTTCTATCACGAGCCTCCCTTGGGTGGTCCTCTCCATATTCCACATCAAGCATCTAAAATTAAATAGCAACCGATTAATTTACACAAAATAATTAGTAACCAAATTAGCCACCATTACAGCACAATGAAATGCTTTTACCCCTATTTTTCCAAATTTGCATGATTCTTTAGCTGTTCATCGTATTCTATTCGCTATTTGACATATGTTTCATATCTGCTTTGTACATGTGCTACTATACTGCCACTGTATACATTATTTATTTGTAAAGTTCTTCAAGTTCTTACGTGTTCTTCTGCACATTATTGAAGGCTATATCTTACCTACACAACTTTGACGACTGTTTTACAATTAGCCTTTGAAACTGTTATTAGTTACAATCCATTTTGTGTTGTAATTTAGATTTACACAATGAATACTATTGTCAATGTTGTTGGTCAATACTTTACCTTGGTGAATTGCCTTTGTAGAATGTCCATCTTGTTCTAATAATTGGAAAACCAACAAATAGATTGATGGATTTATATGTTTTTAACTCAGTTTTCCTTGGGGTTACAGGTTTGCTGGTTGCATTGTTTGTGGTTCTGCTGGTGGAGTTTTGCCTGTTGTGCTGTGCTTAAGAGATTTGTTAAGGTGTAGACACCCATTTGTTGTCTCCCCAAAACCAAACCCAGTGATGAGTACCTTTCACGTCGAATCATAATCGAATGAAGCAAAAGTGTGGAAGGTTTAATGTTGCGGATAGTTTTAATTTCTTTTCTTTTCTCTCTGTTTTTGAAAACTTATTTTAAGAAAACAGCTAATCCAGTTTGGTTGGTCCATGATATGGGTCCAATAGTAGTGTAGTTGGATGGGGTTTGACAAGAGCTTTCCAACGATATATTATAAGCCAAATTCCGATGAATATTGAGGAAGTTATGGCCAATTTACTGAAATAGGCCCGGTTTGAGCCTAATATACGGCCCAATGATCTAGGGGAGGTCCTAATATGATTTATCATTCCTAATGCAATTAGGAATGGTTTTAGTCTTCTAGATTCTTCTAGAAGGTTCTTTTCATTCCTAATTCAATTAGCATTGATAAATTGACTTTTATTGACTTTTCAGAGTTTTAATTAAAATCAAAGAACATTTTTGAGGAAAATATACGATTTTATCCTCCAGTACGGCAAACTTATCTGATTTTCGAAAACGCGTCAAAAACAGGCATTGGCGCCTGACACCAGGCATTGGCGCCTGGATCTAGGCCTGACGCCAATTAGCCATGTCTGGCGTCGATCTCGTTTTGCGTGCGCCAGACTCTGTTTTGTTAATTTTATCTTTTTGGCTGATTTTCTCTATAAATAACGTATTTAAAACTCCGTATTCATTCACCTACAATCAGTTTTCAATTCTCATTCACTTCTAATTCATTCATTCATCAATCAATTCATTCATCCATCTCTCTCTCTTTTTCTAAATTAGTCTTTTATATACAAAATTTCGCATTCGCAAGATCTAGAAACACTTAGCCATATTCGAAGTTGCCTTCGCCCTAGACGTGAAAGGTTTAATTTCTGAGGGTTTGGTCCCAAATCTCTCTTTCAATTATTTAATTTAATTGTTTTTATTATTATTTTCCTTGAAGTTACTAACGTGTGTATTTTGTTATTAGAAAGAGGTACGAGGCATCAAAGTAAGTATTTTGATGGTTTTTATTGATGTTATTGATGTAGAAATCATGTTTATATTGTTATTATGATATTCCTAGTATCATGTCTAGGGTAATTTTAATGTTAAATATGATTGTTATGATGCTTCCTATGTTCTTCCTAATATTTATGATTGTTAGTATCATGTTAGGGCTAAAGATTTGATTTTATTGCTTAGTGACATGCTAGGGTTCGTTATTAATCTTGTTAGTATCATGCCTAGGGTCTTGCTATGCTTTAACATGATTATTATTATTAATAGGATTGTTATCATGATTATTAATATTATTAATTATGATTACAATTGTTATGATTATTTTATAATTATTATGATTATGATTATAATTATAATTATTATTGTGATGATGATTAATATTATTATTGTTATTTATTTTGTTGCTTGATGCTTATTTATTTTTATTGCTTGATCACGTCTTTTATGCATGTTTAAAGGGAATTAGTACTTGTAATCACGTTAATAAGATAATTAATAATCTTGTTAGGGTTAATATGATTATAATTCAAGTGATCGCCAATAATAGTTTTATTTGTGCATTTAAATTCAACCAACATAGATAAACAGGTTTAGGGTTAATCCTATTGATTGCATGTTAGTCAGAAAGCGCACATGAATACGATCAGAATAAAGTAGAGGCCTATTATTAGGGCAAGTTCAATCTCTTTTAGGTTGAATTTGTACCTTCATCCCCGAACCCTTATTTGGTTCTAGACCTTATGGAGTTGACGATCTCTTAGATCGTTAAGGGGTGTAACCTTCACCCTGTGAACGGTTTACAAGTTCCTAAAACTTGTTGGCGACTCTTTTGCTCTATCTTCTTCCCTTTTGGACTCCACCGTACTTTAGTGTATGATCACAGTGGGGTTCAAGCTAGGGGTTAACGCTTGAAATTATTCCCTACATAAGGTAATTTCTATTATTCCTTTTATGTACTAGT